GAAGGGCCAGTGGTCACTCCTCCTGGCCCTGCCCTGCCCTGCCCCTGGGCAGCCCCCAGAAGAGCCGGGCCTGCGAGGACAGGTTTATGGGGCGCAGCTATCTCCCTGTGGGCATCTGAGCGGGCACGACGCGCCCTCAGGCGGTGCCTGGCGAGCCCGACCCAGAGGAACCCCTCCCTGTGGCCCCGGAGGAGGAAGTGCCGCACGGACATGCTGTTGGCAGCTGCTCTCTCCTCAGCTGGACCCTGAACCACAGCCGCCCCAACACAGACGCTCTGCCCCTCTGTCCCCTGGCCCCTCAGGAAGGACACCACGGCTTTTACCCTCAGGACAAGACCCGGCCCCAGGCCTCACCGGCGATGCTTGCGAATATCTCGCTGATGCCGATGAGCACGTACTGGGGCACCTGCCACCAGATGGGCAGGTCGGCGGCGAAGTACACGACGTTGCCGATGGTCTGGTTCACGGTCCGCACCCGCACCAGGTCCAGCCGCTTGCTCTCCAGGATCCCTGCAATGACAGCGGTGACAGGTCTCGCTCCCCCGCAGCCCAAGCGCTGGAGGCGCCGCTGGTTAGGGAGGCAGGCGCCGTCCCACACGGAGGGGTGTGCGCACGCAGGGTCTACTTAATTTTTACATTATTGCATTTTTAATCCTCACCCGAGGACCTGTTTTCATTGAAGGGGGGTGGGGGGCACTGATGTGAGAGTCAGCGATCAGCTGTCTCCCTTAAGCGCCCCTACCAGGGACGGAACCCGCAACCTGGGCATGTGCCCTGACCCTGAACTGAACCCGAGGCCCTTCGGTGCCTGGGACCCGATGGGCAGCAGAATCACACACAGAGCACACGGTGCCAACTGCACGCGGACACGACCTCACGTCAATCACAGGTTTCCTCCCACACTGGCTCCGACATGTGGATGCTAACCCTGGCACCCATGTCTGGAGCCTATGAAGCACCCCCACTCGCTCCTGGGGGGGGGGAGGGAGGCTGCGGGGTCTAAACCCCTTGTGGGCACGCTGGGCAGTGAATTCCTGAAAACAGCGGGGCTGTAGGGTGGACTCAGGATACCAGCGTCTCTCCTCTCGTTATGGAGTGAGGCTGTTTTCCCGCTGAATCGTCCTCAAAGAACCATGAAGGAAAAGTGCAAATGCACTGAGTCCCAACACCCGGCCTCCTCACAGAAGACGCTGCAGCCGACCGCCCAGCAGGAAGGGCTGTGAGCAGAGTGACCAGCGGGCAGCTCCTGCATCGGGGGCGCGGGAGCCCTGGGCTCTCGTCCTTCCCTTCCTCTGTTCTAGGGGCCGGGGGGCTGGACCCTCCCTGCGGACACCATCCACCCAGGAAAGTGCACGTGGAATTCCACGTGACCGTGCAGAGGGCCCGGAGCACGCGGAGCCCCCACGGACGAGACAAGAACCCGCAGGGAGAACCACACACCGCCCTGAACCTGTGAGATGCGCTGACGTGGCCATCGGCCAGCGGCGAAGGCCGAGCACATGACGAAGAACATGCCCACGGCGATGCGCTTCAGCGAGGACGGCAGGAGGCCGTGCCGGCGCAGCACGGGGTCCACCAGCTTGTCCTTCAGCGGGATCAGCAGCAGGATGAGCACCGCGTCGAACATGGTGAGCCAGGCGGCCGGGAACTGGAGGAGGCG